CTGAGGGTTATTCATTATTTTATTAAACTCTCTGACCAAAGCATGTTCTCGGCGCAAATTGGGAGGAGCTATGTTGCTAAGAGTAGGCAGCCATATTGTAGGTGTTGGTCGAATTGTCTCTGATATAGTGCGCATAGTTTGGTTTAATTGAGTATCGACCATACGGGTGTGTTTGCTATTGAGCCACACTGGAGCACAGTATTCTGCTAAGGGATACACCAAACCCAGCGCAGAGGATCTTAGGGTGGATGCTGATGAGCCCCAAGTTGTGCAACATAATTTTTGAAGTATGTTGTTACGTGTTCTCAACTTTGCCGTCGATCTTGACAATGTATATACAGTGTGTCAATTTTAAAACTTCCCCACCTTTAATATCTTTCTTGCAGTTAAAGATATGAAAAATCGGAAAGACACGTCAATTTTATTTGTAAGGGGGACGCTTTAAATTAATATTTTTACCCTTTTTCTTTTAACCCCCTACGAGGGGTAGATGTCACCCTTACAATTTTAAATGGGAATGGGGGTCAAGTGGCACATCGTTTTAAAGGACGTTTAATTCTCTTTTCAATGGTATCCTACTTTGTTGCTTTTTGTCCAGAGGTTTCCGAATAATCGCGTTTCAAACTGGCAGAGACAATTAAACATGCCTGCATTGAGATTATGGTTTTCAGGCTAGTGTTTATAAAAAATATTGCAATGATTCTCCTAGTATTACAAATAATAATAAAAATAATAAAAAAATAAAAAATAATAATAAAAAAAATAATAATAAAAATAATTGGAAGATTAGGTGGAAACATGAACGTAGCAATTATATTTTTCTAGGGGGGTCGAAATACTAATAAACAGAAAACATCATAAACATTAACGTTCCTTTTCTTAAATTTGAATGAGTGGCAACCTCTAATCAGTTATACAGGAGGATTTGTTAACATTCCAGCAGGACGGTGGCTCCACCTCATTATTTTCTTCCGATCCGACAGTTGTTAAACGAGAGATTTCCGGGTACATGAATTGGCAGAAGGGGACCAATTGAATGGCTTCCAAGATCACCGGATTTAACACCCTTAGATTTCTTTCTTTGGGGACATCTTAAATCCATTGTTTATAGAACACAACCTACTGATATTGATGATCCTAAAAAATTTGGCGAATTACAGCAGAATGCCGGTCAATTCCCGGTGAAGTTTTCCGAAATGTTAGGGAGGAGTTTGAAAACACACTTTATTATTGTTAACAGGAAAATGGACATTCTGATCAACTTATAAGATAGGGCGTAAGTGCTGTAATTTGATCTTCTAATGTTTTGTACTATAAGGAGATCCATTGCAATACTTTTTGTGTAAACGCTAGACTGAAAACCAAAATCTCATTGCAGGCATGTTTAATTGTTTTTGCAACTTTAAAACGTGATTATTCGGAAATCACTCGACAAAAAGCAACAAAGTAGTATACCTCTGAAAAGATAATTAAACGCCCTTTAAAACGATGTCCCACTTGACCCCCATTCCCATTTAAGATTGTAAGGGTGACATCTCCCCTTCCTAGGAGGTTAAAAGAAAAAGGCTAAAAATATTAACTTAAAGTGTCCCTCTTACAAATAAAATTGACGTGTTTTCCGATTTTTCATATTTTTAACTGCAAGAAAGATATTAAAAGTGGGAAGTTTTAAAATTGACACACTGTATAGAATTATACACGTAATAAAAGACCAAAAATAATCATTGAAATATAGAAAATTATAAATTCATTTGTATAATTTAATTTTCTTTTTTCTTATAAAAATGTTATATATCTTACATATTACTATAATAAACAAAATGTGTTTCTATCTCTTTCTTTTTCTTCTACTATGAAATTAAGTCTCTTATTGAAAAAAGAAACTTAATTTCATCAGAAAATAATTAAATAGCGTGCCCTCACCTCGTGTGTGAAGATAACTCGTAGTTCTTAGTTTTTCTTACACCTTAACAGATGTTTTCTTTGCGTTCCAGACTGACTTAACTAAATTAGTCTTTTTCTCATTTCATTTCTGTTCAGTTTTACTAGAATTCTATTTTAAGATAACACCCGACGTAGCTTGCAATTACATATAGGTATGTCAAATTTATTTTCACCAAATACTTATTTCTTGTTCCACGAAAAGCTTGATATTTTTCTTTTTTTAGATACCTATACCTGTTATTTTATTTTTCTTTAATTAGGTTAAGAGAACAATTGAAAATAATTTAATTGGTTCCACTTGTACCCAATGCATATACATATATAATATACAGGGTGGCGCACCTCATTCGCCTCGGTTGATCAAACGAAAACTGAAAGATGTAGAACCAAATTTCTATGGGTATATGTAGAGAGGCAATGTGCATAATTTAAAATTATTTTGAAATGTACAGGGTGTGTCAGAACTAAGATCCATATCAAAGTTATATTTTTTCTTATGGAACACACCCCGTATTTTATTTCATTTTTGGATTCTTGGGCATAAAATAAGGCATTTATTATAAGGGTTTAATATGTTTAAATGCTTTATAAAGCAATCAGCCATCTATCTTATGGAACAAAACGTTTTTTATTCAAAATCTGAGCCAGATAGGTATAGGAAACCCTAATATAGTTTGAAATAGCATTTAAATCTACTTTAATACATAATGTTGTATTTGAAATAAAGAAGTTTTTATGTAAAATAAATATTTAAAATAGACCAGTAATTTTTGATACCACTATATACATTTAAGGAAGCAATCAAATTAGTAAAGTTTATTTCTCTGGCTTGAAAGTCAGCACGAGAATTAATTCTGAAAAGTAATTTACAAGGTGTTGACAAACTTTTTTATTATAGCATGCATATTTAAATATCTTTAAATATCTCAAAAACCAAAGCTTTTAAACATATTAAACCCTTATTTTATGTCCAAAAATCCAAAAATGAAATGAAATACCGGGTGTTCCATAAGAAAAAATATAACTTTGGTCTAAATCTTATTTCTGACATACCCTGTACATTTCAAAATAATTTTAAAATATGCTCATTGCTTTCCCACATATACCCATAAAATATTTTGTTTCTACATTTTTCCGTTTTCTTATAGTCAACCGAGGCGAATGAGGTGCGCCACCCTGTATATACAGGGTGTCATTGAAATGGTGTAAAAAAAATCAGCATAAGTAATAAGATGTTTTAAAAATCATGAAATTTTGACTTTTCAATTAATTATTTGATAACTACTTGGTTACTTTTGAACCACCATAACTTTCATTAGTTGATTAACCAGTTAGCAACCCATAAGAGCAAACTCTTTGCCTTCAATTTTCTCGAAAACCATCGCTCTGGGCGATGTGCAACAAGAGTACCTTTTTTGTAGGAAAAAGTATGTAGTTTTCAAAAAATGAACCCACGTTGCAAAAAAAATAACCTCAAAAAAGTTATTCACGAAACAACCCCCTACCCTTGCAAAAACTACCCTTTCCGCTTTTCCAAATAATTTTTCAGTACCACCATTTAATTTAGGGTCAAAATTTATGGTAGAGAATTTTTTTTCGAAATTTTATCTCGTTTTTTAAGCCTGCAATTTTAAAACAACCGTTTTTTAAATTCACCCTTTCAGTGCCCCTAACTCCCTTAACATGCATTTTTCGCCCTATACTTATAGGAACTTTTTTTTACTATTTTTAGGAGTACTATCACCCCCTGATTTTTTACACCATTTCAATGGCACCCTGTATAGTCTCATAGTTAGTTCACTATAATTAAACAGATAAAAAATGTATTTTCTAAGTTGCTAAACAAATTTAGACAAGACGCTCCAGTTGACTGTAACAACAAAAGCCGAGTTTCAAACGCAAATTTAATTACAGTTTCGACAGAAATTAAATTATCATTTGGCGAGCTAACTGGAACAATTTCAAATATCAAGTTCGAAATTCGTCGTTGGAAAAGTTCGACAGGAAACTTTGTTCCTTCCTCATCGACTTGAAGCGATGCCGCAGAAGATATAAGCGATTCCTTTCGAACACATCGATGAGTTTCCTCATTTACCAACTTCCCAAGACGTGTCCTAGTCCTACACGATAACGATTTACCTCGTTTTAAACTTTTACTTTCTTTGTTTGCTTTAAAAAGTGTATTAATTACAGTTATATTTATTTATTGTAATAAAAGTATATTATCACAGATTCCGTGTGTAGGTCCTTAATTTAAACACACCCATAAAAACGCGCAACGCATTTTATGTCGGTGCAACAGCCTGGATAATGTATGGTTCTTTGTACTAGACAATAATAGCCCATGGTTAAAGGCTCTATGGGGGTTCAGTCTCCAAGTTACTAGACTTTTTAAAAATAGATAGGACTGGATATTGTAACCTGTATAAGGACCAGAAAAGGACCACAATAGATCTAAAAAAGTCACAGTGGAACTAGCAGTCTAATCTAAAGATTTTGTTATAATGCCGGGTCCAGACTAAGGCGACCGAAAGTAAACACGATTTGAGACAAAAACAAGACAAACTTGCGACAAAAAATGGGAAATTCTGACAAGACAAACTTGAGACAAATTGTCCACACCGTAAGGACAAAAGTACAACAAAGTCAAAAGTTTAGTTGTTGCGAATGAGTTTTATTAGCCATGTGTGATTTTACTGGTCTCCTACTGTTGGCAGCACACGCCATCCACACTGCGCCGACAACTTGTCGTAAAACATACGAACAAAACAGACACTTTGATCTTTACCGACTCGAGACGGGACATTGAAAAGTCTCCGGATTTTGAAACAAAACAAAAATGAGACAAAAATGTCGCAGAAATGTACTGGATTTATTTATTAAATTTGGCATGTGTATTCAGCATACGCAGACCAAAAACCTATTTACAAATTAGTTGTAAAATTAAAAGAGGAGGCAATAATTTGACAGTTTAAAATTTGCATGCGATTTTCTATGTTTCCAAAAACGATGCACCATCTGGTATGCCTGGTTTTTGCAAAGGATAAAAAAATAAGAAACTTCTATTAAACTCCTTTATTAACTACTCGACTCTAACATTTGTTTTTCCTCCTTAGGAGGAGGTTGATCGGTTTTAATATTAATTCTACATTCACAGCCTGGATATAGTTTAAAATCTACATCTATCATGTTCCTAGCTTTTAGCGTATTCTGAATTTCAGCTTGACTAAGAGCCACCTTGACTGCCTCCTCTTCTTTTAGTTGGTCCAAATCAGAAGGTAGGTACTTTACAACACAATTTTCATGACCATTTACCTGGAATTTTTCCAAAAAATATATATAATTGCTTATAATATCTATTTAATCAATAACTCACCAGACAGACCAACTCCAATTCATAATTGTTATCAATTTGGGGCCAATCCTGTTCCAGAACTGTCTTTTCCCAAAATATTTCTCCCGAATTATTCAACCTGTTCGGAGCAAATACAAAACCTGCCCAAAGTTCAGAAGCAAAATGGGGTGCTATAGGAGCTAATAGAATTATCTGAGTCGCCAAAGCTCTTTCAAACTGAAGACTGTGGGCAAAGACAGCAGGTGGAGCTTTCTAATTTGGAAAGAGTAATTACTGGTTAATAAAAAAAATTAAAACTAAATATGATAAAAAAAAAGAATCATTGTGGGGATAAAATTATTCATTAGGTGATAAAAGTATGCTCTAAATGCAGAATAAATATTCAGCAATTTGATACCAATAATTAGCACTATCAAGGATATCACCTGATTATAGCGAGAAAATATTATATTATCAAGGTGGGTGTGGTGACATCTGTCGGGGAACGAGCCAAGTAGAAGAAAAGCGAGCTCTGTAATTCCCAATCACCGAAAATTACTGGAACCAAAAAGAACGTTACAGATAATTTTCGAACGTTCGAGAAGCAGCCGCTAGGATATATGTATAAAAGCACAACCAGAGAGGACACTAATAACTAAAGTGAGAGGGCTTGTGGAATAGGGCATTTCGTAGACAAGTTTATTTTGTCTCCGCGCATCCCAGACGCGCATAGCGTTTAGGCGGTCAAAAAAGGAAGTTTTCAACTTTGCAAGTTAAACATTTGACAGGATTAATTAGATTGTCAGTAGCTTTTTCTATTTCTTAGCTCTAGAAGGAGATAACTAAAATCTGTTGATAATCAGAGTAATAAATTGTTTTTGACTGAATGTACCTGTTCTTTTAGCTTGTGAGAAGAGAAGATTATTGTCATTATTGATTATTTGAGATTATTCGGCATTTTTGTAATTTTTGTTTTGTGGTTGAGATCCAGACAAAACGTTTCCTCTAAAGGTAAGTTTTATCTCGGTAATTATTTTAAAATACCTAATAGTAATAGTGAGTGCACATAATATAGTCTAAGAGCTAGCAACGTTTTCGAGAAAGTATTTTAAGACGTCTGGCTCTTTGATATATCTTTTACTATGCTCTCTGGAACAGTATGCGGCCCGTCTGGCTGCCGATATCCGTTGCGTTCACTACTGCGCATCGGAAGAAGATCCTATTTTTTTTTAATTTAGTCCTATAAATTCTAGTATTGAATATAAATCGAACATGTCTCCATAGCGCAGTGCGTAGAGTTTCCGACTACGAATCGACGATTCAGAGTTCGAATCTGGGTCAGAGCAAAGACTTTTTTATTTTATTTTCATATATATTCTGATACTAAAGTATTAAATAATTCTGGTGATTCAAAAAAAATTAATACTTTACTATCAGAATACAAACGAAAATAAAATAATGACTAATAAAATATAGGATATTCTTTCAATGCGCAGTAGGGAACGCAATGTTTACCGGCAGCCAGACGGGCCGCATTCTGTTCTAGAGAGCATAGTAAAAGATATATCAAAGAGCCAGACATCTTAAAATACTTGTTTCTCCGACGTTGCTAGCTCTCGTGCTAATAGTCGTACATTGCTAATTTACATAGGTAAGCATAACCTATGGGATAAATCCGATCGTAAAAGTAAAACATCACATTCTTATTCTTTTCTGATACCTATGGAACGACTAGGTATTATACCTGGTATTATTACCAATTACCAGTAATACAAATTATTTTTTTCAACTGATAGGTTCTTGTTATAGAATAAAGACTATCAAAAACATTGAATACCTACGGGATACCAACTGATACTTTGTGCGAGCTCCCAACCGTGCTTCCCTGTTTACTCCCAACCAAGTTAGATAAAAAAGATATTGAAGATTGCAGCCTTGAGTTGGAGTATGGTAAGGAGTATGGGCTCCACTACGACATGTACAGAAACGGATTACCTAAACTGGTAAGCATGTAAAATTAAACCGTAATGAAAAATTGAACTTATTTATTTTTAGTTCAAGAAAAGGCATGACAATCCACAACCCACCAAAGACCTGGTAAATGAATTCTGCAAAAATAGAAAAACCAAACTAAGTTAAATAAATTATTATGTTCCTACACAGTATTTTATTTATAGGTTTTAAAGTCTAATAATAAATTTTCGTTGTCAACAAAATAATCTAAAAAAACTACGAAGATTTCTTATTATAAACTTGAAAGATTAAGATTCGGTTCAAATACACAAATTTTAAATTTTTGTCGCCAGTATATAGGTATGAATGCAACCTACTATATCGATAATGCGCTCTAAGTTCGGGTTAGACGTCAAAGGCCGCGCCATTAACACAGTCTTCAAAAATTAACGTTGATCGGCCTCTCTCACTTTAGTTATTAGTGTTCTCTCTGAGCACAACCGCTCTCAACAGTTTAGTTTAGATTTGAAATACAGTCAGCAGAGCAGTCAGTTTTAAATTGTGAACCGCGACAATTTGACGAAGGATTTTTAAATTGTTAATTGTGTGTTGTAAGCAGTATAAATTGTGTGTATATAGTGAGAAAATAAATTTGTTAAGTTTGGTTTGTACTTACGATAAAATGTGAGTTTAAATTGGTGGACCCGCGGAATCCTTAACAATTGGTGTCAGGAGTAGGAATCAAAAGGATTTTTAAATTTTACGAAAAATTCGGATTGGAGAATTTTTATAGTGACGACTTCAGAACAAGCAAAAAAAATGGAGGAAGTAAGCAAGCTCTTAGGAGATTTTATGGAGAGTATGAGAAGAGAAAAGGCAGAAGAAAGGCGGCGAAAAGAGAAAGAAGAGGAACAAGACCGCCTACAGAAAATACTTATCGAAAATCAAGAAAAAAAATTAGAGGGTTTAGAAGCGTGTCAAAAAAGAGAAAAACAGGGGGGAACGACGTCATAGAGAAAGACAAGAAGAACAGGACCGTATTCAGAAAATTTTAGAAAATCAAGAAATTAGACATAAACAGTTGAGAAAATTTTTGAAGATTTAGAAGTACGTCGGCCAGAAGGACAAAATGGAAGTCGAAAGAAAAAAGAAGTCGTAGATCTGGAGGAGCGCCTTCAGCAGGAAATAGAAAAGTTGAATATGGACCTACAAAAGACAAAGGTGCACGTAAGGACACCAGGCGTTCCTGGAACTGCGAACCTTAAGGCTCCTACCTACGATGGACAAACGACCTGGGCGATATACCACCGCCAGTTTGAAGCAGCCGCCACTGACCAGGAGGAGTCATCGCGCTGCGTGGCTCTGTCTTGGAATTGCCACAAACTATCCCTGCAGCCCAACAGCAGAAGTACGAAACTTTGGTTGCTGCACTGGACAGAAGATATGGCACACACGCCTGCAGAGGTACTGAGAGAATCTGCAGGAATTCGAAGAAGACTTACCTTGGCTGGTACACCTGGCATATACAGAAGCACCGGAAAGATTTAGGGAGGAACTCGCTACTCAGTGCAGGGGCGCAATTCTGTACAATCGTCGGTATCGGTAAGTTACCGACAGCTATCGGTACATACCGCCAATGAGCGTCGTGTTGATTGTTGTTTTCATAGTTACCGATCGTCGGTACAAATTTGCGATATCTGCCATAGGACCGATCGGTAACTATGACAACAACAATTAACAAATTTTTACTATATACGAATACGTATCGAGATCTGTCGTAACTTACCGATACCGACGATTTTACAGAATAGCGCCCCAGCAGATTCAAAAACTTCAATTTGAAGTTTTTGAACCTTTGAATTAAAATGGCAAAGACCTGCCACATATTCTTTGACTGGATAGATTATACACTACTATTACAGATTAGTCAGGTATTTGTATCAGTAATATTGGTATTAACAATTAAAATATATGCAAGAAACATATCTAGGTAATAATTCAAATTACATATAGGTACTTACTCTGATGCTATTCGTTAAACCTTGTTGTTTGGACACTCCTATACTGATCTGTTGTGATATAACATAGTTGAACGTGCATCCTTTGATATAATAATTCCTGGAATCCCACAAGTAATCGTCTTGAGCCTTAAATTCACTTTCAGGAATCATAGGTGGCAAATTGTTTCTGTGTTTAAGAAAATCTCTTATTGTCAGCCACAATCGTCTTTGCCAATTTAATATACCAGGGAAAGCTACAAAAATTTTCTAATATTTTCCAATGATTTTTAGGGCAAAAAGTACTAACTATTTGAATTCCAATTTCTATGAGATGTTGGCGATACATCGGCCAAAATAAGCAGTCTCGTGGTATCTATTCCGTATTCGTTAAACATGTCTTCTGGGTTTACGCCGTTTTGTTTTGATTTGCTCATTTTTTCCCAGGTTGCGATCACCTGTTCGCCAGTATCCTTACATATTGCTTTATGTTTTTTCATATCTAAAAGGAGCAATTTTATTGTGCAATTCTTGAACAAAAAATTTTGTAAATGGTAAACATTATCACTAAATAACGCCGTATGACATTCGCCAAAAAGTATGCGCAAACCAAGGAAAATAATTATTAAACCACTGGCAAAAATATGTTAATCAATCAGTATTCATGCCTAATAATACACTATTATTTTTTCAAAAAATAGAAGATTCCAATACAAAGCTTTTAAATTCTACCACTAGCTAAGAGATCTTAAAATTACATATACATCACACACAAAATAATACGATAAAACATAGACACCCATAAATATAAAATTACAATAACTATATACGGTACATTGTGAGACAGGAAACTGTAGAGAGAAACAAGCCCTATAACATAGGATACAATATTTTAACGAACAGTGCTTTCCAAAAAATCAATAAAATGAAAAATATACGAAATAAAATAAATGTACCGATTTCTTTCGAAAATCGACATCTATGAAAATATGAACCCTTCCTGGACACAAACGGTACATTGTGAGACAGGAAACTGTAGAGAGAAACAAGCCTTATAACATAGGATACAACATTTTAACGAACAGTGCTTTCCAAAAAATCAATAAAATGAAAAATATACGAAATAAAATAAATGTACCGATTTCTTTCGAAAATCGACATCTATGAAAATATGAACCCTTCCTGGACACAAACGGTACATTGTGAGACAGGAAATTGAAGAGAGAAACAAGCCCTATAACATAGGATACAACATTTTAATGAACAGTGCTTTCCATAAAATCAATAAAATGAAAAATATACGAAATAAAATAAATGTACCGATTACTTTCGAAAATCGACATCTATGAAAATATGAACTCTTCCTGGACACAAACGGTACATTGTGAGACAGGAAATTGTAGAGAGAAACAAGCCCTATAACATAGGATACAACCTTTTAATGAACAGTGCTTTCCATAAAATCAATAAAATGAAAAATATACGAAATAAAATAAATGTACCGATTTCTTTCGAAAATCGACATCTGTGAAAATATGAACTCTTCCTGGGACACAAACGGTACATAGTGAGACAGGAAATTGTAGAGAGAAACAAGCCCTATAACAGAGAATACAACATTTTAATGAACAGTGCTTTCCATAAAATCAATAAAATTATTAATTATTCTAACAAACAAATCATCTTAACATATAAAGGCGCGTCCACATTGCTCGTGATCCTGCTCGCGCTCTTGATTCTGATTGTGCTAGCGTTGCTTGCGCTTCCTGTTTGTCGTGCTTCTCAAGATCTTTCGGCTCACAAGCAACGTAGTCCACATTGTAATGTAGTGCTTGCGTTCGTGCTGTTTGGACATGGATCATGTATCATACCGAAGAATTTTTAATAGCGGCTGCTAGTGCGATCATTATTGCAAAACGAAGGAGACAAAGAGAAAAAAGACGGTGTTGGATGTCTAATAATTTCAAAAGTAGATCCCAGCACAGTGAAAGTAAACTTCTACACGATTTACAAACAGACAGAATGTTTTTTAATATTTTTTATCGCATGTCCGCTGTAGAAAGAAAAAATACAACTTTTAGGAAATGAATTCAGGTTAAAGAAAGAGTTAAAGAAAGATTGGCCATAACATTAAGATTCCTTGCAACTGGAGACTCACATACCAGCTTGGGTTATTTATTCAAAGTTTCCAAGCAAAACATTTCAAAAATAGTACCAGGCGTATGCCAAAATATAAATAAAGTTCTCAAAGATCAGATTAAGATAAAGAGGCAATATAAAGTTATATTTTATTAAAGGTATATTTAATATTACCCGGCATTGCATCAGCCGATTATTTTTATTAAAATAAAAATAGTTTGGGTACCTAGGTCGACTCAGCCTTAAATGAGTACTTGGGATTCACAATCCTGAGGTAATAATAGGCGGTTGAAGCGTAGTGCTAGCCACATTACCTTCCTTGTATACCGAACGGCCCTAGTATGGCAAGCTGTACCTTGCTACTCCCTAGGCGTTAAACGCTATATACGGGAGCTATTATTATTATATTTAATATTACTAATCCAAGAACAAAACACAACTATTTTTAATTTTGAAAAAAAAAAAGAAAAATCATGGTAGTATCATCATACTGCAGTAAATACCGAATATTAGGAATTAAACCAAACTAAAATCTAAACCAACAACGCAAAGAGCTTGAGCGCTTCGAACCGCCGGCGTCGTAAAGTATGCTCGCATGGCTCCGAAGCGTCTCTTTGATGTACCGCGACACAGCCGAACCGAACAGTCGTAACAGGCATTTTATGTGATCGCAAGCACGTGAAGCACCGCGAGCGTCGCGAACATCTCGTTCCGACTGTTTCCCATTTTTTTCGTTCGGCCTGATCGCGTGCAATATGGACGCACCTTTAGATGTATTAACGGTTAATTTTATTTTCTTTATAAAACCTACAATTTCAAATTAAAAAATAAAATTTCAAATCTGTACCATGAAGAAACTAAGAGGTAAAAAAAATTGTAAATAAACAAGCCTATGAAAATTTATTACTTCCAATTATTTTTTAAGACAAAAAATAACATTAAGTTTTTTATTTTTGTTTTGAAAAATCCTATACTCATGTAAAATGAGTTTATTTGATGTTATACGAAGCGTTGTTGATCATAAACTTTTTGACTATTATTGTACAGGGTGAGTTAACGATAGAATAAAGTCCATTATCTCATTTGTTTCAAGGTTTACAAAAAAATGTTTAATATAAAAGTTATAGGGATGGTTAAGATACACATTTTAAAATTATTATAGAGTATACAAGGTGCTTCAAAAAAGTGTGGCGGCTATAACATGTTTTTTTAAATGCAACACCCTATTTTTTATTTTATTTTTAGATTCTGCGTAAAATTCCATAACTTTTTTATATATAATATTATATACCTAAAATTATCAGTTTTTGTAATATTTCAATTTATTTAAACAAATGTTAAATTGCAGTGTGGTAAAAAATTGTCAGTGGTGCCATTGTTTCTGAAGTTGGAGTACCAAAATTTGGTAGGAGAGTTTTATAGAGATGAAAAAAAAGATATGTGTAAAGATATTTTAGTTAAATAATACAGGGTGTTCAAAATATATTTATGAATTTCAACTACTTAAAATTAAAAAATCTCAAATTTTTTAAATGGGACACCCTATATATTATCATTTTTTCTGATAGATTTGACAAAACTCTTCAACTTTTATTAAGTATGTCATATCCCTATTTTTAATAGTTTGCAATTTATTCCCATTTTTTCTATTTTTACCCATATTTTTAATACAATTACCCTATAAAATCATAGTTGCCATGACAAAACTATTTATTACTTACCTTTAACAAGTAGCTTCATAATTAGTTACAATTGCTGGTATTAGTTAAAATTAATTAACTTTACTCAAATAAACTAAATCGCAGTAGTGAATATCTTGGTGTTTTTCTATATTATGAAAGATGACACTTGGGATTTTTTGTCGGGGCGAATAGCCACAGATTAGGGTAATATTAGATTACCTAATTGCTAAAGACTACTGATATATGAATTTTCTTCGACATACAGTATAGTTTTTTTCTCGCAGTAATTCTGATTTATAATTCATTTGGTAAAGCCAATATTACTACTGCCACGAAACCGTCCCATTACACACTGAAGATGTTTTCTAGATAATATACATCTATCCTTATAGTAGTTAGCAAAGTACTATATAATAAATAGTACTGAACCAAAAATGTGGTTTTCTAAGCTTGTCCGTGTATATCATTCACATTGACTAATTCATTTCAAGAAAATCTGTTATCTCTACCATTTATACTTATTACAACAAATTAAACTAAAATTCAAATTTTGTTCTTAACTTGCTTAACAGACATGAAATTGTCATAATTATTACTTTTTGTCATGGCAACTATGATGTTATAGCGCAATTGTATTAAAAATATGGGTAAAAATAGAAAAAATAGGAATTCATCACAAACTAATAAAAATAGGTATATGACATTCTTAACAAAAGTTGAAGAGTTTGGTAAAATCTATCAGAAAAAATGATAATATATTATATATATATATATATATATATATATATATATATATATATATATATATATATATATATATATATATATATATATATATATATATATATATATATATATATATTTAAAAGGTACACCCTGTACCTTTTAAAAAAATTGAAATTCCTTAATTTTAATTAGTTGAAATTCCTAAATATATTTTGAACACCCTGTAACATCTAACTAAAATATCTTTACATAGGTCTTTTTCTATATCTCTATAAAATTCTCCTACCAAATTTTAGTTGTCCAACTTCAGAATCAATGCCATCATTGACAATTTTTTAACCCACTGCAATCTAACATTTGTTTAAACAAATTTAAATATAACAAAAACTATTAATTTTAGGTATATAACATTATATATAAAAAAGTAATGGAATTTTACGCAGAATCTAAAAATAAAATAAAAAATAGGGTGTTGCATTTAAAAAAACATATGTTATATTCGCCACACTTTTTTGAAGCACCCTGTATACTGTATAATAATTTTCAAATTTGTATCTTAACCATCCCTATAACTTTTATATTTAATATTTTTTTGTAAACCTCGAAACAAATGAGATAATGGACTTTACTCTATCGTTGACTCACCCTGTACTAAATAAATAAACAAAAATTACCTATTTTTTCTACTTTACTTTCAGGTACATATTGGCCAGTTCCTTTTAACCTGAAACTTCTTCCCATAACCATACCGTGTACCAACAATCTTTTAAATGGTTCCCTTTCTGGCAACAATCCCAAAGAATGCAAAAAATGGCTGACAAATCTGGCATAATACAAATGTAAAACAGCTAAAAATTACTTAATAATAATACATTTCAAGCCAGTCATAGAATTTTAATAATCTGTATAAATACCATGTTCTTTGCCACCAATGTAAAGATCTACAGGTGTCATTTGAAACGCCTTCTCTTTGCTAAACATGTCATCTTGATATTTTGGATCTAGATATCTAAGAAAATACCATGAACTGTCTACAAATGTATCCATGGTGTCTGTTTCTCTTTGTGCCTTCCCGCCACATTTAGGACATACAGTATTTAACTAAAAAGACAACTTGTATGTCAGCTTCATGTTGAAATATTTTTTTATTATTATACAGAGTGAACTGGTGTTGAAAAAAGGTTTCTCCATAACAGGTGGCCCTTAATATTTGAGATTTTCTCACTCCAACTTTTTCAGACTGATTGAAACATATTTTTACCAAGGTTGAAAAAAAACATGTTTTATATTATTTAAAACATTTTTATTGTTTTAACACAATTTAACTCCAAAGTTGGAATTATGTTTTTTATTAGGTATGTTATCATATCATAGTTAAATACTTTTTCCTAATTTTCAATTATGTATAAGTCAAACGAATTTTTTAGACATTAGGTTAGAGCTCGAACTCACTGACGACCAGGTCGCAACGACATGGCCGTCGGTTGGCCGGATGTATTGCGTACATAGCTGGCGCCAGATAAACGACCAGGTTTAAACAGAGTTGTCAGATTTCACGATTTTTTACGTTTTACCAATTAGAAAATATTGTTTCAGAAAGAATTAAGTTTCAGAAATGTTAAAATATCCGACTTAACTAAAAAGCGAAGTTGCTATTCATGAGCTTATTAAATGTTCTAATATTAAATAATGCATTTGAAATATTCTTGGATTTTTCGTTAACAAATACTGGTGTGGTAAATGGAGTAAGTACATTTTCCAACCTCGACTACACGATAAAGTCGTTATTTCCATGTTTTTTAAATCCGCGATGCCTGCTATTCCATCAGTCGTTTCATAACAGAATATTCTACATCCTACGTCTATGTAATTTAATATGTGTGAGTGAGACATGTAACTCGTGAGATTTTCAGCATTATATCAATAAAGGACAAAAACAGTATTGTTCCTAAAGGTGCGTCCAGACTTGAGCATTTTAGCCCGAACGAACCGAGCGCGCACGAACAAGCAGAACAAATAGGCCGAACAAAAAACATTGTGTACGCGCGACCGACAAAAAGGGAGATATTCTGTTTCTTTTACTGATGGCCCTTATCGACTTTAGAAGTAAACATATTAGGGCCATCGTAAAAAAGGTCGTCAGACACTGGCTCTAAATATAAACAAGTAGAAAGTTTAGCTTCCAGTTATTTCAATGTTTACAATATAAATTCCTCTTTTTTATTGTTACTAAGAATTTACAACAGTAAATACTTCTATTTTTATGAATGTTTAAGTTATTTTTACTCTTAATTTTTTTGAAAAATAATGTACCTAGTAAAAACATAGTCTAATGGGCCCTGTTTGAAAAACGTTAAATTAAATATAATATTTAAAATACAGTTGTCCCCCTTGTACATGACTACAATACAACTAAAAAACTAATTTAATAAAAAAAACAAGTGGTTTGTAGAAAAACTTTAAATATGATTTTTTTATTTTTTAAGATCGAAACTCGAAGGTATAATAACAGGTATCATACCAACCATAAATAGAGTATGTCATATAAAAATATTTTGGATTTTTACTAGAATCGACCCTTAATAAAAAGGGACTAGATTTAAGTTTCCCTTTGATCCAGTCTGTATACTATTTCTTTGAATTTTCTGCACGTGTGTAAAAACTACACTAAAACACTGTATCTTATAGAAAATAAAATATTTTGGGTTGAATTTGAGGTATTTTATCTGAAAAATTATTTATTTGGAAGAAAACTGGCAACAAGCGGCAGAAAATAAAATTTTAGTGCAGTCTACTGGTCGGAACATGGTCGCAACGACCAGCCGACGGCCAGGTCGTTAGTGTGCGTTGTATCATTTGATTGGCTTTAGAGGTAGCAGCGGCCTGGCCAGTGCGACCTGGCTGTCAGTGTGTTCGAGCTCTTAAGGTCATTACTTTATTTATATCCCTTTTGTATTTTTTTATTAAATAGATGAAAGAAAGGGGTCTTCTCATTTTTTATTAAAAACAGTGTTTTAAACAAATTTTTAAAACAAGTAATTATGGGTTAAAGCCATTTAAACACTTGTTTTTTTTTATAAATGACAATTCTGTATTTAAGTGCGGCTGTATTATCTATAAAAGTAAAAAAAGTGAAGTATTTTTTTAAAATGTGCGCTACCATTGCCTGCATATTTTGTGGTAAAAATTGAAGTGAATAATCTGAAATATAAATCAACCAGATGTATAACAACCAGTTTTCGTTACCCTGTATGTTAAGTTTTCAAAGATTAATTTGGTATAATAAATTCAATTAAAAGATTAGTTAATTGAATTAATAGATTTGAAGAATAGATATATTAATACTAAATACCCAATCAGATTCTTCTTTCAAAGGCGATTTTCCTTTGTTAGATAACCGTGACAATTTGGGCAATTTTACTGGAAGATCTTCTCTTTTTACTGGTACAGAACCGCATTTACCACAGTGTACAATCGGTATAGGCGTACCCCAAAATCTTAAACACTTCTTTTAAACTTGCTGCTACGTCTGTTTCAAATTATACTACCTTTGCCTGGAAATCAACCAGTCTTTTAGTTTTGCACTTGACCAGTAACCACCGACATTAATTTTTTTAGCTTTCTCACATACTTCTTTTTGTTTAAAACTTATGTCACTAAAATCATTGGTATCACTTGAAGGGCTAAATTGAATGTCATGTTTTTCAGCAAATCTTAGAGCTTCTTCTGATGAAATCGGAATACCTAAAAATAACGAAATATGGTTACCACTTACTATTGACTAAAAAGAAGAAAGGATTATATCACTAAAATTAGCGAGACAGAGAAGAGTTTGGATTGGTCGCTTGTTTAATATTTTAAAATTAGGGTTATTACGTCTTGAACATTTTGTTTCAAAACAAGTGTTTTAAATATTTCTTTAAAACTGTTTAAAATATATTTAAAACTCAGTTTTTAAAATGTTTGGTTTGTAGGCATTTAATAAAAAACAAAATACAAAAGGAACGAAAAAACAAAGTAATCACTTCAAATTAATATTGTCCAGAAAAAACTCGTTCCACTCATTATAATAGAAAAAAGTACATAATTCTGATAACATAACTAATAAGAAATATGGTACTTAACCACTTAAATCTATTATTCTGTGCTACAACTAGGAGTACCTACCATTAAATGCTCTAAAAATAGAAATAAGTTTTTCCTTATATTGCCTTATTGTTACTCCCTACTTCTTAATTTTCAATTCCACCTACACTATGTAGTTTAAAACATAGCTTTTATATACAGGGTGAGTCTTAAATAAGTTCAAACATTTTAAAGGTGGTTTTAAACTTATTTTTTTTATATAGTTTGACCCTAGAAACACATCTATGATGTTTTTCAAAGAACAAAAAACAAAAAAAATCCAATGGTTCTTAAAATATGAGAAAAAATATATTTTTTAAATTTTCAAAGTAAAATAACTGGGTTATTTTTAATAACCCAGTTATAATAACTTATTTGAAAAACGGTAAAAAGAAAATGTTTCTTTTATTGCACTTATTTAAGACTTACCCTGCATAAACCAAGTGTTTTAAACAAGTTTTAAACATAATCCCGTTTGTGGACTTAAAATAGTGTTTAAAACAATAAAAACTGTTTTAAACCATAAAAAACAGTTTTTTTTTTAAATAAAAACAAATATTCTTTAACCTTGATTTTAATATTGCTGACTTGAATTATAGCTGATCAGTCACCATACGTTTTTTTAATATGTTAAAATATAAAATATAGCATTTTTTATACACTCAATGGTTTATTGCCTTTTTTCGTTTTGTCATTTAATCAATAATGAAAATAATAAAGATTATTATTACAAAGAAGTACCGTAAAATGGGGTGAATAGAAACATAGTGGTGAATAGAAACAAAATTTCTGAAAAAAATCAAATCACGATTAAAAATATTCAAAGTAAAAAGAGTCGACATATCTAATTTTTCTATCATTGGTAATACACAATAAAATGTAAAAACTATATTTTTATCTGTGGCAGCACTGTTTCTGTCAATCAGCTGATCAATAAATGTGAGATCGATTTATCACCTATTTTGTATGGCGCGAAAACTTTATAAATAAAATATTTATTTTTAAAGTAATACATAAGCTGGTACATGTAAGTTGTCATATTATATGTATTGTTATTTATTGTTAAACCTACTTAAATATGTAATAATCTACTGTTTCTAATCACCTTGTTGGAAGTAGAATAGATAAAAACCTAAACATCAATGTGTGTTTCTATTCTCCCCAATAGCAGGTGAATAGAAACACAAATGTTATTTTTATTTAATATTTATATGCATATTTTTCAAAAATCAAATTATATGTATACGCAAAGAACAAACAAAGACCCATGTTTTAAAATATTCGGGAAAATAATACCACATTTTTATCAACCGGTATATCGCTAATAGCCTACGAAACTGTTTCTATTCACCCCATTTTACGGTATATTTATAAATAAAAAATAATACCTCATACCTGCATAGCAGTCACTTAAAGGCTCAAATTCGAGTTCATCTGTAACAAATACTGGAAGAACTTCTGATGTAAAAGGGTTAACAAGTTCTACTGATAATTTCTGTGTTCCACTTATATTTTTATCCTCTTTTAAAGCTAACAAATGATTCCTTGTAACTGCTATAAATTTAACTTGTTCTATTAAGTCTGGTCTGGCAGTCCAAACAGTTACAAAATCGTTTTCTCTATAAATAAATAAACAATCTTATAGAAAACATGCAGTATATAAATAAGAAAACTGTTTTTTTTTCAAATTTTGTAAAGATTTTAAAATAGGTACTTTAATATAAAAGTGGCTCATTCCCTATAACTTTTTTATTTTTTCAGATAAAAAAATGAGATTTGGTATGTTAGTATATGACATAAAATAGGATTGATTGACATATTCAATTGTTTTTGGTCACTTCCTGGTTAGAGGAAATAACTATAACTTTTGATATTTAAATGGCACCCTCGGTATTTTTTTACTTTATTTGATAGAAAATTTAATACAATAAGAAAAATACTCGGAAAAATATTTTTAATATATGCATTATTCTGCAGAATATACAGCTATTCTATTGTTACCTGTATATTCTGAAAAAAATATAAGTTATAATCTTAAACATAAAACTTGGTATGGATTAAATTCAATTCTGAATAAAAATTTGAATCTTTCAATTTGATTTTTCAAATATTTTGACTACCTGACATCTGAAGATCTCTTTATTTTAAAGTAAAAATTCACTCCATTGCACTCTCCTATCCAGTGCTTTTGTAATTTGATTATATCTCTCCAATCATGTAATATAGAATCATTCAATCCTTCATACAATTCTTTAGCAAACTGAGTAGTTCTAATGAACCATTGCTTTAAAAGTTTCTTTTCTACTTTTGCGCCTGACCTGAAACAGTTAAGCAATAGTTCTTCATCACAATTTACTATTTTTTATCTAATAATACCTCCAGGAATTTCCATTTTCATCTACTTGTTCATCAGCCAAAACTGTCTGATCGACAGGGTCCCAATTAACTAGTGCTTCTTTCTGATAAGCCAAACCAGCTTCGTGCAATTTCAAAAATAGTTCTTGTGTCCACTTGTAATATTCAGGATCACAGGTGGCCAATTCCCTTTCCCATTCAAAGCTACAGCCTAGTTTTTTTAACTGATTTTTCATGTAGGCAATGTTATCCAGCGTCCAGTCTTCAGGCGACAATTGTCTATCTATAGCAGCATTCTCTGCAGGCAGACCAAATGCATCCCAACCTATAGGATGTATAACCTAAGAATAATAATATAACTTATAATATTTTTCTTAATTAAATGCTATTCTATACATACATTCTTGTGATTCAGACGCTGAAATCTAGCTATTGCATCACTAATTGTGTAGATTCTTACATGACCCATGTGTAGAAATCCTGAAGGATAGGGGAACATTGAAAGTACATAATACTTTTGCCTGTTTTTGTCATTCTCAACGAACGACTCTTGATGTAGTTTAGATTGCCAGTGATTTTCTATTTTATGCTTTATATCAGTTGAAAGTTCTTCATTCTTAAATATTATATATTAACTAACAATGCAATGAGATATATTTAGAATACATTACCCATAATCCTAGAGTATTTAAATATCTCTTGTTTACTGACCAATACTTTTGGTTTACTAAACAGTGACTTCGTAATAAGACTTTCATTTTAATATAACTACTGATACAATTCTTGAAGAATAATCTATTATAAAGTATTACTAGACTACTAGTCCTCAATTTTAAACTATAGAAAATATATACATACCTAGTTATAAAAGGAAAATCGGTAATTACAGCAGATTATATAAAGAAATTAATTTAAAGCAACTACTTTGAAGAACACTGTTACGAAAAGTTCTTTTTGACTTTGTCCCAATAAAATAATGTTCTTTTAAAATTTCTTGTGTGGCTTGTAGAAATTACCTTTTACCTTTGCTAAATACCTTATTTAGATATAGGCTCTGATATAGATATTTAAACTTTAAATGTTACTGAAATTAAAATCGGTCTTTAAAATATAACCTAAAAACTAAAAACATTTTTGCATCATTTTTGACATCACAGTTTGACATTTTAAATTTTTTTGATTATCTTAAATGGCATATGCAACCAGTAATTAACAGAAACAGGTCAGTAGTAGATTTTTTTTAATTTTAATAAATTTTACTGTTGCTATTTTATCTCTTTATATTGGTGTGATTTTTTTTTAATTCCTAATAGGAAGATGCATAAAACACTGACTAAAAATTAAAATTAGTCTCTTTTAATTACAGTAAGTCTAGTTTAAATTATTTTTGAAACATATATATTTGCAGGTGTTGGTATTATGTATTTTTTAATCTACAAATATGATTGAGACTGTTACACTTATAGTATAAAAATATCTACACAAATTTTTATTTCCTTATATTTTTCTGTTTTGTCATATAAAACTTAAATAATAAAAATTAATAGTAAGATAAAACGTTCTCATAAAAAATACGTCTCTCAATCCTCAATGTAAAAAAGTGCAATACAAGAATACATGTGTGTAGAAACTTTTCCATGTTTAAAGTATTTATTTATTTATAGCTTTTATACATTTTTATAATTTGATTAAGAAAAGTGTCTATTACTGACCTGACAAATTCCTCTAATGACAGAAAGATAAACTTTTAAAAATATTTATGCAACCCATAAATTACTTACAAAGAAAATTTCTTAGAAAATTTAGTGCAGCCGATTCTTTTCTATTTTTTTCTTTGTTCTATACACTGGTTGAAAGGAGATACGAAAATAAACAAAAGTGCAAATCTCTAGTGCACATCTATGACATATGACATTGACAACAACAACGAAATCAAGGCAGTGCCTTCTATTAAAAGATCAGCCCACGGGCGGACTTTTGTTTACTTCATCAGCTGTACATACTTAGATATTGGGTTAGATTCCGTTTCATATTTTGTCGGTTGATTTTTGGTTTTAACTCTTTGATTTTTGGTATTATTTATTATTGTAGTGCAAAAAACTAATTATTTTGGTGTTGAAGTGACATAAACTACTACCAGATATATGGTCACTCTCGGTTTCGCATAAAAAAATAGAAATTTTAAAAATTACACGTTGTGCAAGTGATTTAACCTAAAAGTGCCCATACATTTTTTTCTTATCGTGATTTTTGTGTGTGTTTTTTAAGACTCTAACAATTCATCAATAAAGCTTAAGTGGAGTGTGTTATTGGTGCTATGCCTCATCTTTGTTGTGTTCCTGGTGGAAAGGATAGTTACTAAGGATAGTTATTATACTAGGCAGCCTAAAGTGTCCGGAAGAGCAAGAAAAGTGGGTACGAGTTATAAATCAAGAGAATTTTATTGAAAATATCTTTAATAAATTTAAAAATAATATTCTCCCATGATGGTATTAATGAAATCTGGACAATTATGTTTATTTTATTCATATTGTGGAATCTCCACTCCAAGTGTTGCTGGTTCAGCTTCGATAGATTCAAACACGTAAGTAGGTATTATGATCTAGGGAAAAATAAAGAATATGTGTATTAGAGATCATGAAAAAGATTATTATTTTGAGTTCAAATTTTAAAAAAGATTTTGTAAAGACAAGACTGATACAGTTTAAAAGAAGAATGTGTTTTTGTTTGATAATATATAATGTATGTTAAGCATAACATATATTTGTTCAGTAATTTTTAATGAATAGTATTGATTATTTATAATACCAAATTAATATCAAATATTTAAGTGATGGCTGAATACAATATGAATAAAATAACAATAAAATTGGTATATTTGCATAATACAAAATTAAGTTTTAAGAATAAAGGTGTTACTAAAAATACTAAGAAATTCATATTTCTTTGTTTTAATTGGTCTAATGTTATTTACATTTTACGTAAGAATTATACCGTATCATCGAAAAAAAATCGGCGTCTAGTTGGCTTGGAAATAAACATCGATGACATTCCCTAAATAACTGTACACATAAAATAATTAACTAGAATTTTACAATCTTGGAAAATTTGATATTCTTGAACCTTGATTCTAAATATTCTAAATTTTTGATTTTCTTCGAATTTAGGTTCGGGAAAAACGCTGATTGATTTTTCATTTGGTTTTTCATTATTTTTATTTGGTTTAAAAAAAAACGGTTCGGCTAACATTATAGCCTCCATCAGTGTTGTGTGAAAATATGAAAAAAAATAGTGTCGAATATAATCCAAAAAATATTCAAGTGTGTTGTATATGAAAAAAATAGTGTCGAATATAATCCAAAAAATTGCATATAAAATATTCACACCACGCACATAATGTTTACTGCGTACTCCATAGTCAATGTAGATAATTTTAGTGTTAAGAATAATAATTTTAAAAATATGTGGTCGTCTTTTGATAAGTTTATATTAGTTTATTAATTGCAGTAAACATTATGAGGTGTGAATTATATTGTATATGTAATTTTTTGGATTATATTCGACACTATTTTTTCTCATATGACACAACACTGTGAAGGCTATAGTTAGCCGAAACTTTTTTAAACCAAATAAAAATAATGAAAACCCAAATGAAAACTTAATCAGCGTTTTTCCCGAACCTAAAATCCCAAGAAAATAAAAAAAATTTTAGAATAATTTAACATATAAAATGCCAGCGATCTTCATTTCATAGCCATCGCTGACGCTTTTTTTAGATAATATTGTATTATTTGTAAATATAATTTTTCGAACATTGATACTTGCAAAATATACATATAAATTTTGTGAATGCAAATAATAATACATCACTATTAGTAGATATTAAATGTTTTTGTTAAATTAGATCGATTTTCAAACCCCAAAATTTAAAATATATTTACACATTATTTTACCCATTATCTTATGTACCTATACATTATTTGTACATTGTAAAACATTTTATGCATTTGTATGGTTCATAGTTTATTTGCCAAAGCATTTATTACTATAAATAGGTATATATGTTGTAGTTATTAACTGTATATTATGTATATTTCATTTAAACTATATCATTTTGAAAATACAAACCAAAAATCTGAGGAATAATTATGTTTTCCATGTATTCTACAACATATTTATTAATCCGTTATATCTAACTAGCGTGACGTCATAAATCTCGCCCGTAGGCTGATCTTTTAATAGAAGGCACTGATCAAGGAATCACGAATCACATTTTTTGGTTCAGTCAGGTTAAAGAACAAATATTTTTACGAAATTTTAGTTCGAAATGGGGTTGTGTAGATAAAATCCTTAGTTTTTGGTAAGTTTAGATTACGGCCCGTTATATTTTCGATAATTTCAATATTTCTTATTTGCAGAAATTCTTATGATTTAAATTGTTTTGCAACGTTTCCAAGACAACACCGGTACATCTTTTCAGCTAAAATGGCGTTAAAAATGACTTTTCCTATAATACTTTTAATTCTCTGCATTTCTGTAAATGTAAATGCACAAAAGGTAATCGAGTTGGATGAAGATAACTGGTCTCAAATATTGAAAGGCGAATGGATGGTGGAATTGTAAGTTTTGTTTCTATACTTATTTTTATAACTCATTAGCACATACCTAAATAGGTAGGTAGATAGATTATAATTATTAATTTTATATGGTATGATATTTATCTACATATTTTAGTTTTTGAATGATTATATTGATTTTTTAATCCTTGAAGTATGTCAGCATACTTTTAAACACTGACATGTTTATATGCAGTTATAAATCAGTCCTTTGTTTATTTGATAAAAGTCAAATGTGATAATTGTTTTAAAATAGTCTATCAGTGAAACTATTGTGACTAAGTAATTTATAGTTATGCTCCATGGTGTCCCGCTTGCAAAGCTTTAGAAACAAAATGGAAAGAATTTTCTCGATTTGGGCCTGCATTGGGAGTCAAGATTGGAGCTGTCGATGTGACAACTTCCCCAGGACTAAGTGGAAGATTTATGGTTACAGCACTGCCAACTATTTTCCAGTAAGCAACATTTTTTTCTAACAAATGAGCAACACACCAATAAATAAGATTAAAAGTTCTTTTTTTCGGACATAACTATTTTACCATTTTTAAACATTATTAGGTAAATCATTCTTTTCTAGTGTTTTGGATGGTCAATTTAGACAATACAAAGGATCCCGTGATGTTGATTCATTTAGTTTGTTTGTTGAGGACAGGAAATGGGAGCAGGTTGATCCAATCTCAAGTTGGAAGGCACCAAATTCTTTGCAAATGAGTTTTATTGCATCATTTTTCAAGCTGTCTCAATCTTTAAGGGTATTTCACAAGCTTCTTAAAAAAATTCTGTAATATCGGTTTAACTTTTAGCAAATTCACAACAAATTTACGAATGAATATGGTTTACCAACAATAGCTTCGTACCTAATTTTTGCTGTTGCTACAATTATCATGGGAGCTTGTTTGGGTGTAGTAAGTTATTTTCTAAATATTCTCTGTTAAAGGAGTATTAATGTTTTTTTTTTCTTAAGATTCTAGTTTGTGCAATTGATCTAATATTTCCACAAAAACCATCACAATTTGTAAAAGACTCAGAAGTAAAGAAGAATAACATTTATCCAACTGGAGATGATTTGGTATATTTTTTAAATATTTTTCTCTATTTTTCTCTTGACAATCAGTTTATTTATAGAATGATGAAGATATAAAAGATGATTTGGTTGATCAGCCAGCAAATTCTGATGGTGAGCATGCCTCAACAGAGTCCGAAGGCAGTCAGAAGGACGATAAATCCGGCTCAGAATCGGGAAAGCCTAGAAAGCGCAAAACAAAAAGGCTGGACATGTGATGATTAGTGATTATGATGATTTTAAAAACCAAGAGATGTGACATCTTTGGTTTGTTATGGACCTCAAATAATTTATTTTTTTACGATTTTTCAACGAAAGTAATTTGCAGTTGAGATACTTTAATAATTAATTGTAATTAGTGCTTACTAATAATAAAACTTGTTTTTATTGATAATTTTGTAATACAGTATGTTAACTTCCAGTTATAATAGATTTTTCGTTAAGGTTTTAAGGTCAGGATATTAAAAGATATTATTTAGTGTTCAGAAAACGCAAAACTAAAAATGTATTATGATTTTTAGTTGTATTTTTATTTAAATTTTATTTTAATTTTAAAATAAAACGTCTTCCTCTCTTCATTTCTAAAGTAATCAGAATATTTAAAAAATAAAATGCTTACATTTTCAGTTTATGAAGTAGAACATCTTAAATGTTTAGTGCAAGATTTTCTAGTTACTTGTACATATTTAATAATACTTAATAATAAATTATTTTTTAAAAATATGTGTTTACTTTATAAAAAGAACTGCCAAATTAACTAGTGCCTATTTTTTTATGGACATCTTCTAAAATTATAATAAAAAAATTAATTATTAAATCTAAATAATTTAATCATCATTAGGTAGGAAAATGAACTCAAATAGAATTGAGAACTTTTCATATTGCCCTCGTATTAATATAATCTCGTAAGTATTTTGGGTTTTCTAACTTAAAAACAGAATAGCAAATATGTTTTGCTGGTTGTCTATCTTCGAATATTTGAAATTCCACTTGTCAAAAAATGATTGTATTTTCACGGTTGTCAAGTTGTTTTCCGATGACAGTTTGTGTGTTGCGCTGAGTTGAGTTGGGCTACGTAAGGTTTCGAGTGCAAGAATCGGTATTTTTTAGTTTCAAGGGGTGTTTTTTCAGTGTTTTTACTTGTGGAAGTACCGTGCAAACATGGCCAGCCGATTAGCAGGACAGACTATAAACGATCGACTGTTAGCAGCCAAACATAGCTTGGCTGGTCAAGGACTGGCCAAGTCTGTTTGTAAAGCCACTACGGAAGAAATGATTGGACCCAAGAAGAAACACTTGGATTGTAAGTCGTTATATAAAGTCTTAAGCCCGTTGATAAATCCCTTTCACTGTTGATCTGCATTGTCGGTATTTTTTTCTGTATTCATCAGGTGGATTTTTTTTAATCTACCTGCATGACGTTTGTGTTTCAGATAAGGTTTTTATTCGGCGCGACAATTTTGAGCATTATATTTTTGAGATAGATTAAATCGGGGTCATGGATTGATTATCAATTAGTGGTTTTACCTGATCTATCAACAAGTTGTTGGTAGCTTCTATCCTTCTTGTATGTTTCGGGTTTTTTAAAGACCTGTGAAGGGAGCCCATAAAGATGGTTTATTAGGGTTGGCTCCGAACGTAAATTAACACCTTGCTCCAGTTCAGCATGAAATAATACATATTGTAGATGAACATTCTTTGGTTCAGGGCCTCATTCAAAAACTTTTTATTTGGCTATACTTTTTTCTTTTTCAACTTTACAATCTTGTAACAGTTTTTATAAAATAATTTCATTTGGATTAAGAATATTTCATATAAGGATAATGTCAAATTGTAGTATGTTTCTGTATTTCACTCTGATTTGTATATTTTGCAATTTACCTGACCTACATTTAATTGTATATGAAACATTTAGAAGTGCTTACAAGATCGATTAGCAATGTTTTATTTACCATTTTAAATTGTTTATTTATAACTGTTTTGTGTTAGAGTTTTGAGACTTTCCAATAGGTCTATTTGCTTCTTTTAAAATTTGAAAAGAGATAACAGTTACAGTGAGTTGATAATATATTTATTTATTCTAAAATAATATGCAAATAGGTACGTGTAATTTATTATTTCTTTTAACTTAATTTATTTTTGCAATGTAACCAACTAATGACTGATTTGCAGATACTTATTTAAAATTGGTAGTATGGTAGAGGATGGGTTGAGGAAACTCAAATCAGAATGTTGTAGTTTTCTAGTTTTGTTATAAATCTATACCGGGATCCCGGTTTGCAAACCCTAGTCTTACCTTACCTGACAGATAAAACCTTATATGTAGACGGGGGTTAGAATTGTTTATTCGTCATTTACAAAAACTCACTTTATAGGTACTTTTTTTTATCATACTGTGTTGTTATTCCAGGAGTGGTACTTATAGCACCTTATATTGTAGTTTGTGGTAGTAAACACCAGTTTCAATAGTATATAAATGATATTTTTTTAATATACAAGAATTATTTATATTTGTTCTTATAGAAACATGTTCTGTTCTCGTTTTTTTTTATTTGTTAGTACAATACATTCAGAATTTATATTGTATGTGAAAGAGTTCATCGTATTTTTATCTCAGCCTAAGATCGTTAATATGTCTACTTATTTGTTTGTAAAGGCTTTTATTTTGTATGAGAAAGTTTTATTTCTTTTCCCGAGAGCGCTGAATTTTGATGGGGTCTTATAATTTCATATGTATTTTTATTAATTGCAAAGTATGTTTTTAAAAAATAATAATTTAATATTTTTAATTTATTTTTTTAATGTGTGTAATGTACCGATGTAGAATTGCTGGTAGGTTGGTTATTATTTCTACAATGGGGTTCGCTATGTTGTGACAAAAATTAGAAGTTACTTAACTTTTATGCAGAATTACTTAACAAGTAATCAAAAAAGTAATGGTCAAGTAAAACCAATGGCGTACCTACTTACCATTTTAAATATATAAATTCCTATACAATTTTTTTTGTAAAATTTTTAACCCTTTTGTGATATTAGGTTTGGATATATTATTTTTCCCCCTGTAGTAATGATTTATCTTACTTCAGATGCGCTCTGTATATTTTGAATTCTTTACGTTTTTATTTGAAGAGAAGCCTATTAACTTATTATAATGATTATGTATTAAAACGGTAATATACACGGGATTATAAATAAAAGGTGTAACTTCTAAGATTTCAGAAAACTATTCAGTCTTCAATTTGTTCTAAAAATATCTGCAAAGAAATTTAAATAGCTTTATTATTACCGTTAAGTCAATGTCAATATCTCAAATTAAAAAAAGCCCTAATAAAGTTTTGAACGCTATAAGCCTATTATACAGATTTTTTTCACACTGTTAATTAAAGTAATTTAGGATAAAATTAAAAAATTGGCGCCGGGAGGCACGTATAGCCGCCCATTTTGTATTGTATTTGACTAAGAGTGAGCACCACTGAGGCCGCGAGGGCCTATTGTGGCTCAGATTCTACAAGCTCTAATTTACAAGAGCGTCAAAGTTCATCCTCAAGACCCAGCCTCTTAATATAGGCCGTTATGTCTGAGGGCGATATGTCTCCTAGGTCTGATAGGTCTAGCATGGGTTTGCCAAACATCTCAAACCTGGTCTTGCTCCCAGCGGGGCAGGTACACATAACGTGCTTCAGTGTTTCATCATCTTCCATACAGAGTCGGCATTCGGCGTCTTCCACCAGTCCCGTCCTCTGTAGGTGAGATCTCAGCCGGCAGTGACCCGTGTACACTGCAGTGAGCACACGCGTTCCATTCCTACCGGCCTTTAGGAGTTCTCCTGTTCTATGTTTGGATGGCCCTGCTAGGATTTTCTTGGCATGCTCCATTCCGGGACTGTCATTCCAGTCTCGGAATGTCTCACCCCTAACCCATTCACAGAGCCTGTCTCTTGCGAGATTTTAGGAACGCTAAGTGTCGGTTCTGGGCCCACGAATGGCGAGCCTGCACCAATTTTGGCGAGGGAATCAGCACGTTCATTTCCCTCTAGGCCGACATGTCCCGGTATCCATATTAGCGACACTTTGTTCCTATCTCCCAGTATATTGAGTAGTTTCTTACAATGAAGAATCGTCATAGACGTGCTTTTCGTTGCCTCAAGTGCTTTCAGCGCAGCTTGACTATCCGAAAATATGCATATTGTTTTCCCGGTGTATTGCTGTTCTACCAGCAGCTGCACACAGGTTTCAATAGCATATAGCTCAGCTTGGAAGATCGTGGTGTGTTTTCCAAGACTGTGGTAGATCTCAGTCTTTGGACTGCTGCAGTAAATTCCTGCGCCAGATCCTTTTTCGTTTTTGGATCCGTCCGTGTACCAACACATTTCCGCATGTAATAAGCCGTTTCCCGGCTTATCCCACTCGTCCCTGTTCGGAAACGCCGCCCATACGAAAATATGTTAATAAAAAGTTGGTAGACAGTTCTCTTAGTTTCAAACTAAAGGAATTTTTCCAATTTTTTTATCTCAAAAACTGCGACTTTGACTGATTTTGATGTTATTACAAATTTTGTTGCAAATATTATTCCTAATCTTAAATCGAAAACCGCGTTTCGCTAGCTACTGTAATTTTGGAGTTACGGTTTTTTAAAATTTTTAACCCCCTCCCATATCCCCTTACCAACCCCCCACCCCACCAAAAACTAATGGCCAGATTCTCGGGTGCCATAGTATTTTTGTGCCAAATTTGGTTAAAATCGGTTTAGCGGTTTTTCAGTTATCGTGTTACAGACGGACAGACAGACAGTTAGACACCATGAAAATATTTTGTATTTAGGTCATTTATGATCCAAATAACTCATATTGAATGAAATTAAAAAAAGTTAACGTCTCTTTTTTACTGTTCAGGCACAAGTTCAGGCTAATCTGGACGGGATCTATTTTGTTTACGCTGACAGAAAATACAGTAAACTATTTTGTAAACAAATAAATGTTATTGTATTCTGTAGGTGACAATAAACAGTTCTGTTTTGGAGTTACTATCGAGGTTGCATCATTCTTGGACTTTTGTCTTGGATCACCCAAAATTTCATACAAACCCTTAGTAACCAATAACCAGAATGACTTCTGCGTTTAATATTTTACCACGTCAAATAAACGTAAAAATATCGAGATATCGCCAGGAAACAAATCTCCAGCCAAATACTAGGCAAAATATTTACGAAATAACGTCGTGACATATGACATACACCTCATCTCGTAGCATTACGTCATCAAATGCGAGAGGGAAATAAATATATGCATGCAACACACATGCGGCTAGTCTAAAATTAAAAACAAGTAGGTAACTTTCGAAAAACTATTCCATTCCATTCACCTTTCGCAAGAAATTTACTAAAATATCCGGCGCTAATACTGTTAAACCGGCAGCATTTACATTTTATTTGGATTTTTTACGCATGTCAAGCGTGGTTTCCATAAGACACCAAAAGTTAATAGCAACGAATTAATTTATAAATAATTATTCGTTTAATCCATGTAAAAAACTAGAATAGAACACAGAACATTGTCAGAATACAAATTTAATATACTTATATACAGGGTGTCCCAATATTCCGTTGACATAGAACTACTACGTATTTTTTGTTTCTTCGTTTCTATTTGGCTTTCGCAAAAAACACGGAAAGGGTACGAAAAAGGCTAATACGTTTAAATAAAATATACGGAGGGTACCGCTTAAATTCCTGTCCCGATATTGAAGGATGGCTTTATAATTTCAATGCATTTCCTACATAAGGTGTAGTCTTTGACATAAGTCTATCCTTGTGTTGCAGGAGGTTTGACTAAACAAGGATGAACTTATGTCCTGAAACCATTCAGACTCGATTTTCTGTCTTTAATACTGGGACGTAAATCCTCTCATTGCTCTTATGGGGAGGCCGGCGTATATTTTATTTAAACGTATTTGGAAAAAAGGTGATAACTACCCCCACCCCAATCCCCAATACAATTAAAATTTTTTTTAGGTGGTTCAAATATTTCTTGTAATAATCAGTTGTATACAGGGTGGTCCGAACTGTATTCCTGAAACTTCAGCATATTTTGCAGATAAAAATAAGTAAAAAAGTTCGTATAAATGTATGTCCTAAAATGCTTACTTTCAGAGATACAGGGTGTAGAAGTTGCATAAATAATTTTTGAAGTAACGTCAATATTTGGATGAAAATTGGTGTCTGGGAGTTTTTTGACATGAGAAATTTGATTTTGGTGTCAATATGACTCCTACTAGTAGAGGGCGCCACCTACTAGTAGTACTACAC